TACGGTACTGCATGTGCATGTTGTGTTGGTCTCAGTTTTAAGATTTCGGCCTTCGGCACAGGTTATGGAGATCATACACCAAGTGTTGCACCTTGATGGCGATTTGTAAGCATACAGAAGAGCCAGACCGACTACTGGGCTAGCGGTGCAGCGTGCACCGCGTGCACTGCTCTGCACAGGTCCTTCTGCAGGGGACACTGCTGCCAGCGACAAAGGCTGGACACGTTATGGCGCTTGAGCAAAGACATTGAGCTTGACGGGCTCCGACAGAAGTCTTCAAGTGCTTATGCGTAAATGAAATTACTTGGCCGCAGGGGTGCTTCAAAGTGGGCGACAGCTGTCTCAGTCTCCCTAAATGAAACGTACAAGGATATCAGCTTGATTGCTGAGGAATGCTCCGGCTGGCTGTTCATCGAGTGGCCCACCTTGAGGTACCACTGTCTCCACTCCAGGCCTTGTAATGCAATGCTATCGTCCAATGGGACGCTTAATCCAATCATTACGTGTGCTTCCTCTGTGGTGTCGCAGGGTCTTGCAAGGGTTGTGAGCGTTTGCAGTGCCCGTAAGATCGCCCCATGCCTTGGTTCTGGGTAGAGAAGACGTGTGAAGCAACAGCTCTTAAGCTCCGCAGGGCAGTAAGTTGGTGCCAGTTTGCTCGTTCAGCGGCTCGCCGCGGGCTGGACCCTGCAAACCTCTTAATCAAGCTTCCCCAAGCCTTACTGTAGGATCCAGAGTCTTGCTCTACAGCAAACTTGGAAACGCAAGGACACGCTCATTGCCTCTAGTGCAAGCACCTGTGCTCTCTCCGTGCAGCGAGTCCGAAGCGTGTTAGGGAATCTGAAGTCTGAAGCTGGCCATACAGTGCCCAATTTTCAACAGCCGGAATGAATAAGAAGCGAGATAAGCAGCCACGGATAGGGCGATCTCAGAAATTCCGAATCTGGAAAGCGATTCCATGAACATGCTGACTATTCCTCAAACACATCCACCTGCCGAACCTACTAGATGCCTTACTGCATGTAGTTGTTTTTTAGACAAACTTGGATGCTATGGGGGACAAGGCTACAGGCCCGAGCGTGAAACATTTAGCGTTAGGTTTGTAGGCCTGAGGGGGAAGAAACCACAAGATCATGCTCAAGCTTTGAAAGCAACACCTTGAGCTTTAACCGTTGGACCAGTGCCCCAACAAGGAACTAATTGTCGGAGGTGTGGATAGAGCACAGCATATTAACCAGCCATCTTTGCCGCATCACATCCTGGCTTCGCTGCAATAGGCGAAATTGAGTATCTGCGATGTTTATGGTCTGCTCTGAAAGCTAGCTGGGCTGGCAGACTTAGAGTTTAGGGTTCAGGGATTAGATGCGACGGAGTCGCCAGTGTTCAAGAAGACAGCTTCGTGACGCTCATGTTCTGCCCTGCCGGAGGGCACGGGGGCCTCAGACTTTAAGGTTTAGATTTCCGGATCAGATTTGGGGGCTTGAGGTATAGGCTTGACAAAACCAATGATTGTCCCAAAGGACAACCACACGACAAATGAGACAAAAAAAGCATTTGATAAACACCATAAATTGATGAACATGATAACCCCACATGAGAAATCAATGATAGATAGTTGGTAACACAACCTACATGTTGTTTTCCAACCTCTACATGCCAGAAACTCTCTGAACTTTAAGCCCCCAACTCTTGACCCTGGAAGCTAGATCTACACCTTTAGCTGGTACAGCTGGGACAGGAGCTTTGTGAACAGCCACCCCTAGTGAAGCCCTGAATGTTCCTTAAGACAGAGCCTATGCTCCCTTGTAATCCTGACTGAGGCCTTACTTCCTCCAGTCCCTTGCTTCGAGGCCCCCTACACCCTCCATGTTGATAGCCAGCGGCAAGAGGGATCTTGGAGAGGTCATCCGGAAACGCGGGACTCCGGGGTCGTCCGGGGTAGGATGGAGCAACCTATTTCCCGGATGGGACTTTCGGGATCTAATCTGGCAGCCAGATAGGGAAGGAAAGTGGAGCTTCTGCATGAGCTTAGACGTGCGTTGCATGAGCTTGTGGGTTCTCACTTTAGATCCTCCATTGTACCAGTACAAGAGGAATGTACCCAATTTGTAGATCTCTGCGTCTTTGTTTATCTAGTTGGTTACTGTAGGTACAGCTTGTGGCTACTGCCCTGGAATTTTTGGGTGCGGGCTTTAGAGTCTGGGGCTTCATGTTTCAGGCCGCCACCGCGGCGTCCAATAAAGCCCAACACCTACATCCGGAACCCCTCAAACCCCTGGCACCACGGCTCTGAACGCGCCTACGACTTTCTGACAAAAAAAATTCTAAATCCTTCAGGGGCAGAAGCAGCGCAGCTTTATGCTCATTTTCGAGGTCACTGGCATGACCACCGTTATGATTTTCTTAAAGCTCCGCAATTCTCTGAGTGTGGGTAGCCCGTATTTGGGTTGCATAGGAAGTGCGGGCTGCTCAATTTCAGGGTTGTCTTTTCTTGCCTACTTGCCGTGTTTACGGATGACTTTCCAGAGCAACCTGAGCACCAAGCCCATGATTGCTTAGAGATTAAGTCGATATGCAGGCTCAACATTTGGACCCCAAACAGGCACAGTATCTCTTGCGATTAGCGTCGGCCTGCACGCCGCTTCGGAAGAGCTTAGATCTTGCACCTTCATTATATTTAATATGGGACCAGCACACCAACAGTCCCTTCGACGCGCAGCGTGCTGAAGTGTTAACGCAGGTTGAATGCTAACGCATTTTGTAATAATTCACGCACTAGCCGGAAAAATGTCTGAATAGTATGGATGCCTCGTTTTGCGCAGTTGTACAGGTACGGCAAATAGTTTCAATGGCCAACTTGCATCCTTCACCCCAGATCAGGGCCCAAACCTGACAGGTCTCAATAAGCCACCCAACTTTCAATCTGAGTTCTAGGGGCCCCTCCATTGCACGAAGAACATCCAAGCAGGGACTCAAACTGTTGAGGGTTGCCAAGAGCCTTAATCCCGTTGCTTTTCCCAAAGGTCATCTCAGCACATTGTCGACTTTTGTACGTGCAGAAAAGGTTGAAGGGTTCAGGTTGGAACCTCAGACGGGCACAACGGGCTTTGTGCGCGAAATCCCTCCACATCCGCCAAAGTCAACCTGCATGTGTCGTCGTGCTCGAAACCCAGCAGGCGATGCGGGGTTCCAGGGTCCAGGGTTCCAGGTCTAGCATGGTTGTGAAAAACAAAGGCCACTGGGCTTTTTAGCAGCTTGGCGAGTTTTCCAGCAGCCGATGCTGGGTTTGAGCGCCGCGCGCACTAATTATTTGGTTGGCCTTGTACAGCATTCACACTCCAAGAGGTTGGGTGATTGCATCTTCTGATGCAAGGTTGTCTTTTATACCGTACGGGATGTACTGATTTGACAAGACGTCTCATCTAGCGTCGTTTTATTAGCAGTGCCAGGGCGTACTTGGTAGCTCATGTCGCTCTACCCCCGACTACACCACAACATCTTAGTCCTGCCAAAAAATATGTTCAATGAATGAAAGGTGCCAACCAAGGTTAGTGCAGGCTGGAATGCTGGAAGGCACCACTAGCTCAGCCCTTTCTCTGTTGAAGAAAAGATTGTAGTATGGTCGCATCCATCCTTACCATGGACACTACGATGGATTCTTTTAGCTGCATAGCGGTTCCGGTTCTTTGCTGTCCTGATTGGGGATTGGGGAGGTCTTCGCAAGCAGATTTGTCAAGAGTAGAGTATAATTACCAACCTGCAAGGCTTGTAATTGCTGTGATGCCATTTGCTGACTCAGTCCCCCCAGGCATTCTTTCGTGCAGGTTTTGCTTACATTCAAACGGGGCACATGGGAGCAAATGCCAAGGCATCTTCGTGGCTGGAGTTGCCAGGAAATGGACATTCATCCCTCATCATGCCTGTTCTTGGGGTAGGGAAGGACCGTCAGAGCTAACTTTTCAAAAGTCCCTGCCAAATCGGGACCCCGCTGGAATCCTCTTAAGGCCCTCCTACATGCCAAGAGTCCCTTCTGAGAAATTTTTAGTATATGGCCAAGGCATGGGATTTGCATGTCAAGGGGAAGGCCTCCTTTTGGTTCTGCTGCATGTTCTATGCCTTCCGCAATAGTTGGCTTCTGTTGGCAGCTGCCAATTACGGTTTTGGGTGTCTTGTCTTTACGTCGGGGTTGAGCTCGAAGGGATCCAGCTTAAAGCTCACATCGCTCAGGTTTTTTCGTAGCAATTGCCTTTCCTCGCGGACGGGCAGGGCTAATCCACCTGTGTTACAAATTCGCGGAGGTGCACGCAGATAGATGTTGCGACAAAGAAAAAAGGTGGTCGCTCCAGCCCGCCGTTTTGGGATTTAGTTCCACCGGCAAGCGATGAAGTTTCTATTTGCGTGGTACTTGCAGATCTTCAATACCTCCTCAGCCCCAGTACACGCTAGAAGTGAGATGTTTGAGCACTTGAGTAGATTCCGGAACTGACTCAGGAGGATGCAGGGAAATGCAGTTCCTCATGCATCACTTCGTATGTGGCAGTTGGGAAGCTGTGAAGATCTTTCACAGTACCCCCCAAAATCACCAGAATGCCAGAATCCACTCCTACATGACTATATGGAGAATTCCCACTGTGAATCCTCAAGTGTTTCCCGTAGAGTGGCAGAACATGTCATGGAAATTCCACGGGGTCACAGTCTAGCAGCATCTTGGGAAGTGCTCTTCGAGGTTAAGGTTTGGGGTGGCATACGAAATCCCTCTAGGAACACGGTGGGGCTTTGAGCATAATGGACCAACGCACAGAGTACAGTTCTCGTTGCTCTGGGTGTCCAGCCCAGTATCCCTGAACCCCCTAAGATCCAAGCTCTGATGCCTGTCCGCAACGCCGAGTCCGCCAAAGAATCGTACACTGATCCACCCTGACAAAAATGGCTTCTCATCGTGCACTAAACCCTGCAAGAGCAAGCGTAGACCCAAAGCACGTGGCAAAGGTGCTCACGTGGGCATGTACACTGAGCTCGCCACCATGTATGCGAAGTGCTCCTGCCGTCCAGAGCGCTTTGGGTGAATTTTGCTCGGGCATGGATCCACCAGAGTACCCGTTTCCTCAAGATTCATGAACCCATAGTCTGGGCCCTACACAAGTATCCAAGTATCTCGTGGCTCAGCGCCAGAGCTGCGCTCTGTCCAAGGGAGCCATGCGCAGGTATAAGCCAAAGATGCTTATGGACTTCATCAAGATGAACGTTCAGAAGTTGAACATCCCAAAGCTGATCAACGCCTGCGAGAGGCCGGCTGACATTGGGGAGGTTCTTCACCTTCACACTCCTGAGCCATTTCACTAAACCTAGCCGTAAACTGGTTGTACTGATTTGCATTTTTTCCATGATCAGCAGCCCATGAAACCTTCATCAAAACCCGAAGTTGAAAGCCCTAAGCAAGAAATCTAGAAATCCAACTCCGAAATCTCAAGCTGCGGGCCCTCGGATCTGCCCGTGCCACAGAACCTTGATGGCATAAGCCCAAAACCGAAGACCACTGTCTACGCTGTGAAAGACCTAAAACCGCCAATAGTTTACTTGAAGCCGCCTCAGTTGTGGGTCTCCTACAGCGTGAGAAATCTTGGCCGTCATCTTGAGCTATATGAGGTCGCTCAATTTGTTGCCTCCACAAACAGTGCCCTCTCTGCACTGCAGGCATTATCACTGGGAGCATGCAGTCTTCCTCTACACCCACTACGATGAGTTTGACCAGGCAGCAAACACCATGATGGCCGAAGCCCGAGATATTATGTGGACAAATGATCTTGATGGTTCTTGCATTATTCTTATGGCGCTTCTGTCACTTTCTATCCCCTCCTTTGGTTCCCACTTCCTTGACAATTCTAGGACGTCCTCTGGACGTGTTGGATATGTATTGGCCACTTAGTAAGTGGGGCTATGATTGGAACCTGCTGAGTTACATACTTTGATTGTGTGAGGGGTCATGTTTTGGGAAGCCCATCCTCACGCCTAAAGTGACTAGATTCTGAATCTCTGGATAGCAACCTTTCTTCTGGCCGCGAGGCGGAAAATCAGAAGCAGAACCATGGACTGCTTCTGAAATAGGATTATGCGATCGAGCCTAAGAGTCCGGAATTTCTCGGTTGGGTAAGAAGTAGCCGGTGCAGGAGGTTTATCGACTTGCTGCTGGATCGCACTGTAGACAAAACATCTGAGGATGTTAGTATAAGAGTATGTACATTGCATGGTGATCTGATCTGCATTCTACTTGTGCCATTGAGTTCAAGCAGTGATTGAGCCCATGGTATTCTTGGAGCGTGTGACCCCAAAGCTAGATACAGACTCGTGGCTCACAGCCCCCAGCCTTGAACCAACCCCCGGCCTGTCTGTTTGCTGAGGCCCATAGCCCTGTTGCGTTTGCCCACGACCAGCCTTTGCCTTACGTGGGTTTCGTCTGTATCCAGGGATGTAGGACTTAGAAATTCTGAATGGCAGTGTGGGGCTCAAGGATTCGAGCTTCGGATTCATTCCTGGAGCGTCTCTTCTTTGAAAATGCTTTCATCATGAGGACCCAGCATGATGTTTGTGAAGATAAGCTGCTGCCTGTGTAGGTAGGTTCGAGATGCAGGAGGTTTGGGCTTCAGGGCTCTCCGTCTCTCTGAAGTATGGTTCTGGAATTCCTTTGTTTATTGGCGTTTCCGAAGCGTGGAGGGCAGTTACGCTGAAGGGGTGTGGACACTATACAGTTTTGGTATAATTTGGCTTAACCTTCTTTCCTAGCTTTGAAGTAGAGCTTTTCTTTTCTTGGGTTGGTGAGAGGCATGAATCATTGCATCCAGCCAGCAAACCGGGCATCCAAGGCCTTGTAGATAAGTAGTTCGCGATAGACTCTCACATAGCCCTAGAATCGCCCAGCACCGGTCCAAGTAATCCCCCGGTTTTTGGCCTTGAGCCAGATGCTCGGGCAAGGCATAGCCTTGAAGCTTCAGTTTTGCAAGTACAGCACTAGGTGGAGGAAGCAAAAGTCAACGCATGATCTTGGTTGCTAGTTTGGCTTCACCATGTTCTGTAGATTCGGATCCCACTTAGGTACCGTATTGAAGGAGGTAGAATGTACGGTTTCTGTACGGACGCGTTAAGAAGATTCTTGCGGCCGGAGAAATCAGGACACGGTCCGACTGCAGGACCTTCTTTCTAGGGTGAAGGGCTGTAGTTTTGGATGATAAAGCTGGGCTTTACGCGTACATTGCATTTTCCTTTTTTTTGTGAGTTTTCGTCCGACATCTCCCGCGTTTTTCAGACTTCTATAGTGCTTGCGGTTTCAGAGCTTTGTCCATGGCCCATGAGGAGCGTTCCAACAAGAACACGTACACATCCGGGTCAAGCAACACCCTCCGGAATTGTAAAGGTTGGATGGCGAGAAGGGGGAGAAGATGGTGGATCAAAGTCGACCATGATTTTCATTATGCTCCCTACCTCTCCCGACAACTCAATCACTCAGTGCATGCCCCGTGCGGTCAGCAGGGAGTCCAACATGATGATCCGACGGACATGATGTGAGACTGTCTTGCAAGATATCCCTTGTCTGCGGTTCCAACCAGTACGCCCATTTTGAGCTTGCTAGACTCAAAGTGCTAAACCATCAACTCATGTATATCTTGAGCCCAAAATCCTAAACCCTAATGCCGCCGCAGCACTGCCTAAGCTCACAACCCTCTTGAGAGATTCCTACCGAAGGCACCCGTAGAATCCCACTGTAACGCCTGCACATGCCGGGGTCCCTCTTGCTACCCTGCAATTGAGGAAGCTGCATATGGGAGTTTCTCGAAGTTGCCCTTATATATGATCCTCAACAAGCGCCCTCGTAATGCATTTTTATACCCACATATCCCTAGAGTCCCTTCTGTGTATTGAGGAGATCTGGCACTACCTTATATACTCTCATAGCTGACACCCCGGGAATTACAATGATGGGTGATCTCACTTGATCACAGACGTGACAGATTTGCTTCATGCACCATCTGTGTAACCAGTTGACCGAAGCCCCTGGAAATCACCTGACGTGGGAAGTGGAGTTGTACTCCATACTCTTGACAGCTGGACTTAGCTTTGCTATGCCAACTTTCTACTAGCCAATTCCAAGCTCCAATTTAGCTTGCCGTTAACCCAACTGGTCCTTTTCCAGCTTGCCAGGTTCCTCATGATCATGCAGAAGGCCGAGAAGTATTATCAGTATTCCGTATATCCCTTACATTTGTCAAGTTGTGAGGTCACAACCACCTACCTCAAAGCAGACCCCAAATTACAAAGGAATCCCCACTTGTCTTTGGGGAAATCGTAGAGTTGTTTTGTTCAGCCGTTGGACTGAGTAGTTTCACAGTAGTGGAGGCTTGTTGTAGTCCGAATAAATAAAGGGGTCCGAATGAGAGTACATGTGCAGAACGGGCTTTCCTTTTTTGCAAGCCCACTTCGGCCACTTAGGGCATCTGCCAAGATCACGCAAGACTACCCAGTGCTCTGAGACAGCAGGTGGGCATTTCCCAAACTTAAGGCTTCATGCCACAGCAAACCAGAGCTCCAAAGTTCCGAATGACCAACGAAGCTGGGAAATGCCTCAATATGGATGATCTTTCTTTGACTGGCTGATGTGCTTGCACTGTTTTCGTAGAATACATTCCAAACTTGCCTATGTTGCACGCACAAATCTTTTCTTTGTGATTTTTTGGGGTTTGGCGCTCTTGTGCCGTCGATCCCCTTCTTCAATGAAGCTTAGCAATCTCACTTCACCACGCTGCGGCCCCCGCATCACTGCGTTCACGCCCCAGAGCACAAGATCTGAGTTTTCATGATCATGTGGGCCAAGGTGCCCCAATAATGGGGAATCAAGACGCCAATCAAATGGAAAATGACTCCGAACCTTGGGGTTGTAGACATACATGAGGCTTCAGGCATCCCTAGTGAACAGTCCACAGTAGATTTGAGTTCATGTCGTAGGAAAGGTGTTCTGAACGTTGAGGTTGACGCTATACCGGTATTTCCAAAAATGTTCCCCCTCATCTACTCCGAATTGCCTTGCTCCTGATGATGTTTGAAAGTCCTGCATGTGTACTCTGAAGAGGTATCCCAAACCCTACACCCTGAAACCCTAAACCCTAAACCGTTGACTAAAGTCAAATCCTACCAAAAGGGCCCTTCTTAATTTCGGAAGCCCTGATTTAGTTGGAATTGCCATGTTGTGGGGCATGTGACTTTCGAGAAAGGCGCTTCGAACAAGTACAGCGCTTCAGCTCATTTCTGATGACAGGACAGTAGTCTACAAAAGCCCACAAAATCCCTCAACCCCCCCAACCCCCCCAAGCCCCTCAAACCCTGAAACCCTGAATCTGAACAGGTATCCAACATGGAGCTTTACTATCGAGCAGTTCAGTTCTACCTCGATGAGCAGCTGCGAGCTTGGAGTGATGCAGGTTCAGAGCTTGTAATTCTGGGTTGAGGGTTTGTAACGTTTTTAGAGTGTGTTAGCGAGCTTCATGAGGCTGATCCTTCCTTGGGGGGGTTTAGAGCTTTTCGGGTTCGAGGTTCATAGGTTGCAAGGGTGATGGTTTCTGTGCTTTATAAGGGTTAAGGGTTGACGGGATGTAGGCCGCCGATCCTCAAGCAATTCTGGCTATTCCTTCAAAGTATGACACTGAAGTTTGGGAAGGTGCATGGCCGCAATGTTGAGTTTCGAGCTTTGGGATGGAGTCTTTCATGGTGCGACGTTTTGATTGTCTTTCTGTGAAGCTCATGTCGTGTCAGGATTGCTATCTATTGTGCCAGATGCCCTTTGCCCGCGAGGTTCCTGTTTTATTACTGTCATTCCAAGTGCAAATCCCCGACCGGTCGCCTGGAGGCCAAACGAAGAATGCTGCCTCTCTTGCCAAAGTCCTGATTATCCAGCACCCCGCATCCACCTGAATGGCAACAGGAATATCAGACGTTGGCATGGACCGTCCTTAAACCCAAATCCTTGAAGCCCCTTGTCAACTTGCGCCCGCCTTTGCTCTGTAGGAGCTCCCTGCCCACCGCCCTAAGTGAAAGGGACTTCTGAAGCCAATTTCTGTCTGCTGTTTAAAGCGCAGGAAGCTCCAGTAAAGAACGCATAACTCAGTTGCAGAAGCAAGTGCCCAACAGGCGGCCTGATCAGGGAATAACCTCACGTGCTGAACTCCTGAAAATCGAAGCTGCGCTGTGCAATCATCACCCAGCTACCCTGGGTAGTGGTAGCAGCATCTCTATTCATGCAACCTGCTGGTCGCCAGACCTATACTCTCAAAATAGCGGGACTTGTTGGCAATCGAAAGCTTCCAGAAGCAAAGCTGAACATGTGGGAGGCTTGTTTAGGCCCCTACAGTCCCTCCTCATGACCCCTATCCTCAGTGCGCCGCCTTTCAGCCCTACACCCTCCACTGCCTACACCCCAGACTGTTTGGCCCAAACCTTAAACCCAAGGCCTCTTCAGTTGAACTCGCTCCTTTCCACGATCACACCGAAGGTCAGTCAGAAAGCTGGCTTCAGGGTATTTGTTTTGGCAGATGACGATTGCTTATGCAGGTAGGTTTAAGAATTTGGGGGTGACATGTCTTCTAAACCCACAAAGAAGTGTCAGAAGGGGGTCAACTGTTGCGATAATCCTAGATCTGCGTTTTGACCCTTATGCTGAAGGCCTCCAAGGCCCCGAGGCATGCTCTAGATTCAAAACCTAGCTGCGGGTTTGCGTACTTGCAAATACGTATGGAGATCCAAAACGATCTCCATCTAGGGTACTATCCGTCTAATGTGGGTGGTGTAAAGTGACGTGCTTCTTCGGGGGAAGGTAGAGTTCCGGTCGGAATCAGTTTGGCTTAGCCTGCGCTTATGGCCAGCTGCTACAAGTTATAGTGTTCGGGGTCTACAATTAGGATTTAGGGTTTAGGCTTTAGGACCTCTACAGCGCAGCAAATTTGAATTTAAACTGGCGTTGTCCGAGGGGTGAACTCAACGGGAAGTTGACAGTCGGCATCAATTGGCTTCTACTCAAAACCAAAACAAGGTGAGTAATCATCAACTCGTGACTTGTTGTTTGCCACCCGTGTTTCGCCACATATCAGACTACCCTTTGCGCAATTGAAGCTTCTTGTGTGGGGCACATGCTTTAGTGAACCATTGTATGCCGGCAAAGACTCAGCTTGGACGACCAATAATGCCTAAACCTTTAATCATTGTTTGGGGTCTAGTCAGGGAAGAGTATCCTGAAACTTAAGGCCAGCTCACAATGTGTTTCAATGTTTAGTAATCCTTTGTGGTCATGACTGAGACTTGCGGTGAGTTACTATCCGTTTGGCATTACACCACGTCTTCAGTTGGTTGGGCCACTTTGCGCCATCAACCAGGTCTAAAGAGAAGGTGAGC